TGAAGGAAGGAGGGAAGGAAGGAAGGAGGGAAGGATGGAGGGAAGGATGGAGTGGAGATGGACACAGGGGGAGTCAGTAGATTAGTTCTAATGGACGTGGAAGTAAAAAAAGACTTGAAGATGAGTCAGTGCGGTGGAGACGAGCTGTGACTCATCAACTGGACTCTGTACAGGCCCACGACGGGAAAGGAAGTGGAGGAGGAAGTGACTGAGGGAGGAAGTAGCCAGGAAAGGACGGACAAGTGGACGGAAAAGTGGACGGGAGGATGGAAACAAAAAGACCGAAGGAAAAAAGAAGGAGGGAGAAGACGAAGATGTAGAACAAACTGAAGACAGAAGAGAAGAATGGGGGAGGGAGGGTGAGGGTGAGGGTGAGGGTGGGGGGACACGCTCAGATTCCTCATGGGACGGAACCTTCTCTTCAGAAGAGGGCGCTGCCCTGGGTGGAGATGACAGAGTGTGAAGTTTAATGGTTTGTCTGAGATGTGTGGTGGACAGCTCCTGGTGCTGAAACCAGACTGAAACCTCCCTCAGCTCTTCAAGAGACAAGAGCGGACGGAGGGACGGAGGGAGGGACGGAGGGAGGGACGGAGGAAGGGAGGAGGTGACGACAGGAAACAGATGAAGAGAAGATGGGAGAAGAAACGGAAAGGAGACAAAAAAGAGCAGGAAATAAAGTGTCCTACTGGACAAGCCATGTCCTACTGGACAAGCCATGTCCTACTGGACAGGCAGTGTCCTACTGGACGGGCCATGTCCTTCTGGACAAGCCATGTCCTACTGGACGGGCCACGTCCTAATGGACGGACCGTGTCCTACTGGACGGGCCACGTCGTAATGGATGGACCGTGTCCTACTGGACAACCTGTGTCCCAGTGGACGGGCCGTGCCTGTGTCCAAGTGGACGGGCCGTGTCCATACGGCCTACGTGGCAACTGCTCGGCCCAGCAGGTGTTCACTTCTTCCTGTTGGATGGTTGGTGTTGGTTGGTGATGGTTGGTGTTGGTTGGTGTTGGTTGGTGTTGGTTGGTGTTGTAGCCCACATGGTATTGTTTGTGGCGGTCCACCTAACGTGTGGGCTGGACCGTGAGCTCTGACCTCGTCCGACCTGTGGAGTGAAGTGTGAGATAGACAGCGTGTGTGTGCGTGTGTGTGTGTTGCACTCCTGACCTGATTGGTGGACAGCCTTGCATTCTGGGAAATGAGCAGCTGCACCAGCAGGTGGAGCCCTGCCGTGAAAAGTCCAGCCATGATGGCCCAGGTGAGGGGCAGCGGCAGCATGCTGTAGGTGGCGAAGAGCGTGAAGAGGACGTAGCCCACGCCATCGCCCAGCAGCCCGTAGCCCAGACCGGCAGCCAGGATCTGCGTGGCCATGGCCACCCAGGTGACGGCGCCGCTGTACTGCAGGTACCCGTGTGACGTGGTGTCTTTTCGCACCACCACCAGGGCGCAGATCACCACCTCAATGCCTGTGAAAAAGCCCAGCAGCGTGCCCTTGATGGGGTCCATGGGGGCGGAGGCCAGCGTCAGGTGCAGCACCAGCAGCGTCAGCTTCGTCACCACGTCCAGGATGTTCATCACCACCACCGACTTCCGCCGCTGGCCCAGGAAGTAGCGCTGGTACAGACGCTCCAGGTCACGTGACTTGAAGGCGTTGCGCAGCGTGGGGAAGATGACCCCGCGATAGGTGTAGCCCCAGTTCAGGAAGAAGTCCGAGTTGGTCGGAGCACAGTCCAGCTGGAGAAAGCCCAGGTCACCGCCGCTGCCCCCGCGCTCCGGAAACACTTTGGTGCCGCCGTTGTTGTGCCGCTCCCCCCCGACTGACGTCCGACCCGCAGACTGCTTACGCGCGCCCTGGCTCGGGTCGTAAGACTCGTCCGATCCGATGCCCTTCACGCCTCCTCCTCCTCCTCCTCCTGCTCCTCCTGCTGCTACTGCTTCCTGCTCGTGGATGAAGCGCTGCTCGGTGATGTGCCGCACCGCGTTCTGCCAGAGCAGCCGCTTGGGTCGTGCGTTGTCGCTGCTGCTGCTGCTGCTGCTGCTGCTCGGGGTCTTGTTGATGGTGTAGAGCTCCTCGCTGGCGCTCGAACACCGCACCTCCGACAGCTCCATTACCGCACCTTATGACACTTGTCCTTCTTCTCCTCCTCCTCCTCCGGCTCCTCTCGCTCCTCTACTCACTTTAACTCAGCAGCGTTTCCTCCCGTCGCCGTCTTCGTTTTGCGCATCGAACGGCAGGCGCGTCGTCATCCTCTGTCGGGCTGCTGCAGGCAGCGCGGCGCGGCGCGGCAGGAGGTCATAGTCATGCAGAAAGAAGATGTTGCTGTGGTGGAACATCTCCCGGGTTAACCACAGAGCATCACCGTCTTCATCGTCTTCATCACCGCCACGTGTCCGCGCCAAAGAGAAACAGTCACCGAGCGGCGGCGCCTGTGACCACTGTGCTCCTGCTGCCCGCGGCATCAGGCTGCCGCCGCGGAGAGACGCGGCAGCGAGCGGCCCATGCGAGCGGGGGCGGGGCACGG